TCCCGGGGGGAATGAACCGGCCTCATTATTTTTTTTTTTTTTTTTTTTTTTTTTGTTTTCCTCTCCTTTTAACGAGCGCGCCTGCTTTGTGGAGATGCCGGGGGGCCGGGGGCTACCCAGCAACCCCCCGCCTTTGGCGGGGCGGGCTCTGATGGGGGAAAAAAGCACCGATTCCTGAAATTCCAGGCTCCGGGAAGCACCAGTTCCCCCCCCCCGGGGGCGAGGGGGGTGTGGGGGGGTCTCTGGCGGGGCTGGGAGCCCCAGCAGGGCGGTGGCTCAGCCCGTAGAGCGCCGGGTTGGCATGCGGGAGATGCAGGTTCGATACTCGCCTCTGACATTTTTGTCTCTGGAGAGCGTGTGTGTATGGGGTGCGGGGGGAATGTGTGTGTGTGTGTGGACACGCGTGTGTGTGTGTGTGTGTGCACTGCTCTGTGTGGATGTGTTTGGGTGTGTGTATTTATATAGGGTGGGCACACGTGCATGTACATGTGTTTGTGTGCACACGCGTGCATGTACATGTGCCTGTGTCTATAATGTGTGTGCACACAGATGTGTATATGGACGTGCATGTGTGTGCATACATGTGTATAGGTGTGTGCATACATGTATGTATAGGTGTGCATGCTTGTGTGTACATGTATAGGTACACGTGTGTCTATAGGTGTGTGCACATACATGGCTGCACATACACACGTTATATAAACGCATGTGTTTACATGTGCATGTATGTATAGATGTGTGCACACACGTGCACATGCGTGTTCTTTTGCACGTGTGTGCGTATACCTGTGTGTGTGAGTGTATAGACACGTGTGTGTCGCGCACACGTGTGCACAGCTGTGTGTGCGTGCTCCTGTGCACACGCGTGTGCGCGTGCCGGCTCTGTGCACACACCTGTACGTGCCCGTACATACGCGTGCGTGTCCCCGCGCGCCACCGGGAGGGGGCGGGGTCGTGAGGGGGCGGGGCCAATAGGAGGCGTGTCCCACGGGCGGGTCAGGGGCAGCGCTGCGGCCGGTTGCCGAGGCGCCGTCCAATAGGCGCGCTGGTTGCTAGGGGGTGGTGGGCCAATGGGCGTGCGCGTTGCTGTTGCCAGGCGGCGCGGCGGGGCGGGCCGGGGCGATGAGCGGGCCGCGGCGGCCCGGCAGCCATGGAGATCCGCTGCGGCGGGCTGCTCTTCAGCTCCCGCTTCGACTCGGGGAACCTGGCGCACGTCGAGCAGGTGGAGCCGCCCGGGGCCGGAGGGGGGCCCGCAGGCTGCGGCGCCGCGCTGCCCCCCGCCGACT